CCGGGTGTATAAAACATGCTTTTCGAATAAACTTTTCTAAACACATTATGCAGGTGATAGTTATAGCATTGTATATAATATAAGTAAGGGAAGTTAGTGATTGAAAAGTTAGATTTTTTGTTTCTTATTAAGTTTTTTGTTAGTGTGCCATCCCTTTCGTTTTCAATTAAAACATTCAAACGTAACATACGTGTTAATTTCTGTGTTATATGTTATTTAGAGTTTCAATTAGTCTGCAGTCTACGTTAGAACTAAATTTTATATTGTAAATTGATGGGTATAACTAATAGATTGTACGAAATCTAACTTAGCTTCTCACAAATATTACACATAAGCCGAAACATAACGTTGCAAACTTTGACATTATCAGATACTCAAACATTTGAAGTACATGTATATCATTGCCATATTTTGGTTTTTCATTCCACTAATATGTCACCAACCAAATGAAAATGATATTATCATGGAACTGTATATGATGAAAAATTTACATCAGATTCAGAATCCATCAATTTCTACATTGACGTGATTAAAGAGGGTAGGTAATTTAAATCAATTCATTAATTATAAAAAGTAAAATATCAATTCTTCTTATATGTTGTTGTTGTTTTTCAACTTTATAATCAATAAGATTGAGGGGCAATAAGAAAACCATCAAACCTTCTGTATTTCAGAACCCAGAAGTGCAAAAAGAGCTAGATAGATAACATGATCAGTACGGACTGGTCCCTGCCGACAAAGCAGGTAACAACATTGTCTTCGTTTGTAAGGCTCAGAATATGAATTGTATTTTAGAACTTGGATTTGATTCTAAAAGTGGTAATCCAACTTATACTCTTACTCCCCTTTTTAAGGAAATAATCTTTAAAATCATAATTATGTCAGTTTGGAATATTTTTAATATCCCAAAGAACCAAAATGATTTTCAACTACAATATACTTAGTATATATTGGATGCTGAAACTTTATAAGAATCCTTACAAACAAAGATACATAGCGGGTTCCGTTAATGCTCAACCCACCCTCTTTCTGTACTCCAACTGTGCAACAATATATTCAAGAAGTGGTGCAAATCAGTTGTGGATACTTAAAATTTCCAAAGAACTTATGGAAAATTTGAAATCTCATGATTTTACCAAAATCAACAGTTTAAAGACTTACGACTTTTCAACTTTATACACAACTATTCCCCACGATAAATTAAAGTCTGGTACATCCACATGGTGATAGAGACAAAAATGGAACTCGTAAATTCACTTATATTGTCATTGGTCATTTTCAAAATCATAATTTTGTTAAAAAGCATTCTGATTGTACACTTAAGTACTCTGAAGTCGACATCAAAAAGATGCTTGATTTCTGATTGACAATATACCCGGTATGTGCTGATTTTGGAGACCAGGTCTTCCAACAATCTATGGAGTTCCCATGGGTACCAATTAGGCCCGTTATAAGCAGACTTATTTTTGTATTCATACGAAGCAGAATTTGTGCAAAGCCTTATGCGTGAAAAGAAGAAAACACTTACTGTGTCTTTAACTCGACATTTAGATTAACCGACGACGTATTTTCAATTAACAATTGTAATTTCCATTCCTATGTCGATACGATATACATGTATCCTGGTGAGCTTGAGATAAAAGATACAACAGTGTCTGACACATCTGATGCTCTATATATGAACAATTTCTAAAACGAGATAAATTATTGACAAACAAGTTGAAAGAATAAAACAAAACTATATGATAAACTTGACTTTAACTTTTCTATCGTCAACTTCCCTTACTTATGCAGCAATATACCTTCATCACCTGCATACGTAGTATATACATCTCAGTTGATTCGATACGCAAGAGCATGCTCTACGTATGGACAATTTCTAAAACGAGGTAAATTATTGACAAGCAAGTTGATGAAACAAGAATATTAGCAGTCTCGTTTAAAGTCATCATTTTGTCAGTTGTATGGTCGATACAATGACCATGTCAGCAAATACAATTCACATTGAGTCAAATGTTGGCTGACGTTTTTATACTAAGTGTTAGTCCATTCTTTATACACTGAATTGACGACGGATTTTCGCATTATTTCCCGAGCACACGGCGGATGTGACCGGTCGGCAGGGGATGCTCACTCCTCCATGGCACCTGATCCCACCTCTGATGTTTTGGAAGTCCGTGTTTGCTCTTTTCTTATTTTGTATTGTTTTATAGACTTTTGATCTTGAATGCTGCTCGTTATCTTCATGTTTCATTGCATTAACAAAAACATTATGCCCAATTTCAATGATGCTTAAATTGTTAGAAGTGCAACACCTTTTTGTGACATTTTTGAAATCTGAATATTTTTGGAGATCTGTGGAATAAATAATAATGCTTTATGTTGAAAATAAAGACTTTCTTGATAACATTCAAAGTATTGAGTTTTTAATGAGGATATATGTTCTTATAAAATATAATTCATCATCCGTGTGTCACACAACGAGAGCTTGTCATAAGTGCTTTTTTAATTATCTCTATCCGTTTTATCTCAGCGTGATTAGATCTCAACTTTCTGGTTTGTAACGTTCTTTTGTAAAGGGAAATTAATTTCATAGAGACTTCATTAAATGAAATATGAGGGTTTTTTTTACTTTGAAAAAAAAAAACCACGAGAAACTAGGACTAATTTACTATAACAACTGTAATTTATGCCCTTCAGTTTCACATGACATGTCTATTAATAAATTGGCATAGTTAGCAGGCATTGTCATTTCACTTGTTACTGTGAATTATGAAAATAATCAAACTGTAATCAATCTCCAATTTACCCATCGAGATGACTTATAATAGACAATTGTAGTAAAAACTCTCCTTATTTGGAAAAAAAATCGCAGCTACTTAGGTTCCACTCAAAGCTTCCTCTGCCCGAGTTCACTTTTACAGCCAACATCCAATGAAAAAGCTAAGCAATTACACGGATATAATTTTAGTATACCAAATCTTCTTTATCAGGATTTACATCCTCTAATGAAAAACGCTTAACACACCGAATTAAACCGTGGGTCTTAACATATGTTTAAGTGAAAGAAAACACACTTTTAAACTGATTGAAAATGTCCAATACCGAAGGTATGGTTAAAGTACGTTTTATACTTTTCATTTCCATTAATTTTACCATATATTTATTGCAATTTAGTTCCAATAATTAAGGTATAGAAATGACAAGGTAAAATAAAGAAGATTGAATGATCTCCTAAAAATCTACCTGTTCAATAGAAAAGGCTCGTAGCAGATGTGACAAGTCAACATGAAATGCTTACTTCTTCTTGCCAACTTATCCCACCTCTACAATTTCCAGGTGTTTCATGCTCTGATCACAACTTTGATTTTTATGAATGATTGACTGGACGTAAAACAACATTCCCGGTACAATCAATCAATCATAGAAAATCTACAAACAGTGCATTGTTGTGAACAGAGCATGAAACACCTGGAAATTGTAGAGATGGGATGAGTTAATCATATATAAACTGATTTTCAGTGTTTGCATTTTTTTTTTAGACCGATCATCATGTTACCTTCACCTATTTCATTAGATATTTTTGTTTCCATTTTTATAAGCATTGCTTTTAAGGGTCCGTATTTTATGCCCTATTTACATGTTTGTGTTTCTGTTGATTGTTTTATCGATCGCTGTTCGATACCTTTACCTTATTTCAAACAAATAGTTTTATTTTCATTGTTAAATAAACTTAATCTTAATGTATTTAGTTGTATATAATATCAATAGAAATATACAAAATGCCGTAGAGAAACAGTTTAATGTACCCCTCGAGAACATAAATCATTCTTTGTTATTTGTATTCTTTTTTAAAACTCGAATCAGATAACTCAATAAAAACATTTTGCATCCTTTTATTGATAACAATAAAATATCACAGTTTCATCTGTGGACAGGTAAAGTTGTTATCCAATGAAAACACAGTTTAACGTCGGGGATATAATAATAATGTACTTACAAAACAGTTCTCTTCCTTTTTTGACTAAATCAAATATCACACTCTAACTTTGTGTTACAAACATCCTGTCATAATTTGAAATCTTAATCTATTTCCTTCACTACTCTGTGTATTATTATGTTGAACTGAAGCGCCAGAAGAACACAAGAGGAAGTAGAAAAGACTATAAGTTTTAACTTTACGAGTGTTCTTACAACAGCATTTCTGAATATATTACAATTTCAAGTACAATAGTTTCATGTCTACTCTTCGGGACAATAACGTTTAAAGATTTACATTAAATAAAAAGCAAAGTCCTTTATTTTGAAATGTCGTATAAAAGTACATTTAACCAATCAATATAAATCGCGAATCAATCAATTGGAAAAAGTGAACAAATTTACACGTAACACGAATTGATGTTTTTACACATGTTACATTTGTATTATAAATTAATCACGGTGTATAATAGGGAGTGAAACTCGTAATTCTGCGATTTGAAATTGTTTTAATTTCTTGTGGAGCTATATAAAATTTACATCATACAATTATGAACTTCAATGTAGGTGGATATGTGGTTATGAAGACTTTATGACAAGTGGTATTAAGTGAATACAGAGAAAGTAACAGCGACTGAGCCTGCGAGGTCGCTATAATTTTCTGTGTCTGAGGACAAAATTATTTGCAATATTATTTACATACTGCCATTGAGCATCTCCTATTTTATATTTTGATCCTACACATATTTTGGGTTTCCCATAGCAAAACATAGACACTGTGATTATATTCATAGAGGAGGCAGGGGTATCATTTAGTGATCCCATTGCTCATACAACCATTATTTTTAATTGACATAATTAGCAGAAAAATATTCCCTCCAGTGGCCAATAATGTCAATGGGCCCAATTTAGACAGGCCTGTGATTTGTCCTAGAAGTCTTTCAAATAAGAAAACTTCTTACATGTAGGAATTCTTTCTCATAATAGTTAATCTTTCTTTTGAATGTTCTTCAGAGAGACAATAAATAACTTCCATGGCAGCCCCTCCTTACTCGTCTACAGAGGAGCCAACAAATGCCTGTCGAGCCTGTCGACTTCTCCTGGGTCCTTGTACAGATCAGTTTAGGGATGTTTTCCGTCATTTTGTACCACCATCATCATTTCAACACGTAATTCTACGTAAAACAAGTGACCTTCCACGTCTGACAGCACCCCAGATGAATCTCATTTTACCTAGAGGAAGTAGTTATACTGGAAACTATAGTGATATGGACATTTCTCTATTGTACATCCTACTTAGAAACATTTGCAGCATACCACCACACAGCAAAGGCTGGGGAAATGCACCAGACCCTGCTGATAGATCTCTCTCTGCCAGCATTGAACGCGTCCATACAGCCAGAAATCAGTGTGTAATTTCATCAAGTTCAGTCCTCTCCGATGCTGATTTCAACACAATCTGGTCCACTGTCAGATCAGCAGTTGTGGACCTTGATTCTTTTCTTAACAACGGAAATCTTTTCAAAAGTCAGGTGGATATTATCAAACAAGAGACAATGGACCCTGTCGGTGATCAGCATTTCATTGAAGAACTGAAGAAACAGATAGAGGAAGATGCACCGACAAAAGAAATAGTGCATGACTTACAAAGTAATTTCAGAAACGTATTGTAAATTTGTAAATTGTAAAATTGTAAAATTTAAAACAATTAAATTTAGCTCCAAACTGATTTAAATGAATTAATGTGCCTTTAAAAAAAAAAACCCCTTACTTGTTTCAGATAAGATAGAGAAAAGTGATGCTGATCGAGTTGAAAAACAAAATGAAATGCAAAGAATTCTTGGTGAGTTTTTGTTGATGTATTTTGAAATATTCCCGCTTAATTCATACAAGCAATGGAATAACTCTTAAAGCAGGATTGATTAAAAAGTATCAATGACAAAAAGGATTTTAACTAGGGTATGCTTTTGAGCTCAAGGGCAAATCTTATTAAACTCAAAATTTATATTTCGATTTTTTCCCCTGCAAATCATGTAGTTTCAGAGTCCCTTCATGGAATAGCAGGAATAGAATTATCATTTTATTAGATTAAACTTTAGATATTCATAACCTGTATCAAGTATTTGAATTTGAAGCGCTTCAACAGTATATGGTGACGTCATTTACGAGAGAAAAATTGTCGAACGGGACGTAATTCACGTAAAACAACCTACTGAAATTATCAAATTATAAACTATATAGAATTGTTGAAAAAGGAAAATTATTCTTAATCAGTCCACCAAAAAATCCACAATAATAATTATTGTCAAATTAAAAAAGGTGACAGAGCAAACTATGATTTGTTTTCATACAAATTACATATGCAAAGCAATGAATGCAATGTGATATATTATCATCATTGGTAAATTGTGACAGTGAAGTCAAATTTAAAATTAAGAGACAAGGGAAATAAATGATATAAACACAACATCATATTTACATTCCTAACATGTTACAATTTTTACACTATATCTTTAGATGAAATCAAGACACCAAAGAGCGTCATCCCTCCAAATGTAAAGGGTATGTATTTAAATCTCCAAAGATTTCCTCTACACTTATAGCTTTTTTTTCTTTCCAGAGGAATACCATATACATTTAGAATTAAACATTGTAAAGAAGTCAATGTATAATTTAACAAATTGTTGAACATTGAAATTACCTCGAGTGGAGTCCATGACCTTTATTAGGAATGTTTTGCATGGTTATTATGAACGTTATATATAATATAATCATGAATCCAAGTCTAGACCCCTCCAACAAACACTCAAGGCTGAACTTAGCTTCTCATCTATCAATATATTACTTATTGGACGAAATTCAGTAAACTAATTTCTAACAAGCGAAATGGTTTCTTTTCTTCATCAGATATTGAAAATTTGGCCTACATTTATCTCAACTAAGTCTCAAATTCCTGGCTCCTGGTTCATATTGTCATTTTTGACGGGTATGGGTTAGGGTTAACCTAGACTAACCTAACCCTAACCCTAACCCGGGTTTAAATTCATTTACGTGTATACGTGTAGCATCTTCAATCTTAGAAAAATAATTGTAAAAGTTGCCTAGTTGGTCTATCTCTGGTCTTTGGTGGGAACAAGTTTTTAATATATTGAATTCGATGTTAGGAATTTCGCTTTTATGACGCATTTTATGTGAAATGAGGGGCAGATCAAATACTATTTTACGATTTTGTTTGAGTTAAAAAGGTTTGAAGTCATAATGATCTTCAAAATTCTATACTGTGGAAATATAAGCATTGCTGATTCATAGATTCTGGATCTCGAGATGACCAAGATTGTCTTTTCATTTTTATACTGGGGTTAAAAATATTGATACACTATCCATATCTTGGCCTAACAACCCATCACATGTAATTTTTCATAGTTACCTTATGTTTTCAAGTCATGATGACAATCAGTCTTGACAAAATAAAAAAAAAATAATCATAAATGATACATTGCTTTTTTTAGATAACCATGAAAAACAAATTTAACAATGGATAGAAGAAGATAAGGTCTTCAGCAAAACGCATAACTTCGAAGAAATACTTGATAAAGTCAAAGAGCGACCCTATTTGACTTTTGTTGGAATCCCAGGATCAGGAAAATCGGCGATGATTCAACATATATCCCTGATACTCCAGAAGGAAGGATATGAGATTGTACCAATTATTGATATAAGAAAAATTGAAGATTATTGTGATTCGCTGAAACCACAGGTTTTTGTTATTGACGATGTAGTTGGCGTATTAGGTCTTCAAAAACAAAAATTAAATCTATTAATCGAGTATGAAACACAAATTTCAGACCCGTCTAACAAAGACACAAAAGTACTGATGTCGTGTAGGGAAACGGTATTTAATGAAAGTCACAGCTACAAATCGTTTTTAACGCATGAGAAAAATGCAATTATGCTGCACAGCTCTGAAAATTCATTAACTGTTGATGACAAGAAAAGAATTCTTCTGAAACATGGTTTAGATGAAAAATTACTACCCGATTCATTGCTGAGAGACACCTCAGGTATGTTTCCCCTCTTATGTAAATTATATTCAAAAGAGGAGAAATTTAGAAACAATGTTGAAAAGTTCTTTACGTGTCCAGTTGAATGCATTTTAGAGGAATTAGACAAAATGCTGCACCAAAACAAGTTATATTATGCTACCTTGGTCTTATGCATGTTCAATGACAAAAAGTTGTTCAGGGAAATATTGAAAAACACAGAAAATACAGCGTTTCATGAAATGAAATCAGATGTTCTTGAAAACTGTGAAGTTGAGAGTTACACAGATGCATTTAAATTTGATAAAGCATTAAAAGCCATGGCGGGGACATATACGCATCTACGTGGTAATGAATATAGCTTTGTCCATGACTTTATTTTTGAGGTCATTGCGTATCACTTCGGCTGTCATTTTCCAGATCTCATATTGAAATGTATTAGCAGTAGTTATATTGCTAACAAAGTGAAAGTTCAGAAATTTACAAAAAATACTGCAGACAGTACAAATGATCAAGCATTTGAAAGTACTGCAGTCAGTGGTGCATGTAAAGAGAAAGAAAAAGTTTCAGTCATTGGTGAGAGCAGTGACAGCATGGCTTTGTTTAATCTCTGTTTAAGATTAAAGGAACACCAGTATCCCATGTTAGCAGAGCGATTGTTGAAAGACATAGAACGTATGGAACTTTATGTCGTTTTCAGGAATAAGGTTTTAAAAGAGCCAAAGGTGTGTCGTTATTTTATTGAGATCTTAAAGAAAAGGTCTTATGTAGGGTGGAAAGCTTTATTTTTATCAGAACTGAATGACGTCTGTAATGTGGTGAGTACGGGAAAACGCTTGACAAAGGAAAGTCTGGTGAGAGATGAGAGGAACAAAGATTGGTACAAACAGTGTGTTCTTTTAAATGAGAACTGCATTTCAGAGAATGCTTACAGTGTGAGGGTTATTAGCTGGGTGATTTATTACGGCCACACTAGGATTCTACAATACATAGTAAAGCAGACAGAATTACACAAAGAAACACAATCTGAACTTTTTTGAATCCATGCAATCCTGGGTTGAACGATGAAATAAAACAAGAAAAAAAAGAACATTGAAACAAATAACGCAGAAGACAATTTATGTTTCTTGAAATCCAAAACTGGTTTTAAAAATCAGAAACATGCCACGGCTCGGTCAATATCTGAACAATACCGCTTACTTGTACTGAGTTGTTACAGTGGTGATTTGGAGACTGTAAGCATAATAATAAAACATGTAAATGAAATTACACTTAACAAATCACTGCAATATTTAGACTATGTTTTTAGATGGGATGACACACCACTGACTGCAGCATGTGAGGGAGGATATGTAAATGTGGTCAAAAAACTGCTATTGATGGGGGCCAATGTCAATCTTCAAGGTAAATATACCACACCATTGACGGCAGCATGCGAGAGTGGTCATATTAGTGTTGTGAAGGAGCTGCTAGTGGCTGGGGCTGAAGTCAATCTTCGAGCTATATATAATAAACCACTGACAGCAGCAAGTGAGAATGGGCTTATAGATGTAAGCAAGGAACTGCTAATATCTGGGGCTGAAATTACTCAACTTGGTAAATTTAATACTCCGCTGACAACAGCATGTAAAGGTGGATATACAGACATAGTGAGAGAACTGTTGAAGGCAGGTGCCGATGTTAATCTACCAGGGGAATTTAATTTAGAAAAAATAGCAGTATCTAAAAGGGGCCATTTTCAAATGTCAAAGGAGGTGGCAGAAGCATGGAAGTATTTTGCAAAACTGCGTAGATGTAATACACCCTTGATAGCAGCATGTAACGCTGGTCATATAGATGTAGTGAACGTTCTCATCAAGGCTGGCGCTGATGTCAATCCACAATCAGGATATAATACACCGCTGATAGCAGCGTGTGAAGGCGGATATTTAAGTCTAGTAAATAAACTACTAGATTCAAAGGCTGATGCTAATCTAAAAAGTGGAGGTACTTTACCCCTTGTAGCAGCATGTAAAGTTGGACATGTCAGTATAGTAAAGAAGCTGCTAAAGGGCGGTGCTGAGGTGAATCCCCTAGACATTAGTAATACACCGTTAGAGACCGCAAGTGGTGGAGGATATATGGATGTAGTGAAGGAGCTTGTGGGTGCAGGAGCTGATGTAAATCTACGATGTGGTAATACCACACCATTGGCATCAGCATGTCGGGGTGGACATATGGAGGTAGTGATGGAACTTATAAAATCAGATGCTAATGTCAATCTACGAGGTGACTATGGAGGTGATACACCTCTGATAGAGGCATGTGGAAGTGGAAGTATGCGTTTAGTTGAAGAGCTGATACATGCTGGGGCTGATGTCAATTTACATACTGAATATGATTCGCCATTAAAAGCTGCATCGACTTGTGGACATTTAAATGTAGTCAAAGAACTTATAAAAATGGGGGCTGAAGTCAATCCTCAGGGTATCCGTAGCTCACCATTGTCAGGGGCATGTAGGGGAGGATACATAGACATAATGAATACACTTTTAGAGGAGAGGGCTGATGTCAATTTTCAAGGTATGCATGGTTATGCACCACTGATAGAAGCAAGTGCCCATGGGCATTTGAACTTAGTTAAGAAGCTGCTCGAAGTGGGGGCTGATGTTAACATACACGCAGATGGATCAACACCACTAACAAAAGCATGTGAAGGTGGACATTTGAGTGTTGTAAAAGAGCTTTTAGAGGCGGGTGCTCAAGTTAATCTGCGAGATGAATGTGATTCACCACTGCTACAAGCATGCCGAAATGGAAATACAAGTGTTGTAGAGATGCTGCTTAAGGCAGGGGCTGATGTCAATATTCAACATGATAATGGTACACCATTACTTATTGCGAGTGAAAATGGACACATAAGTTTAGTCAAGGAGCTTCTGAAGGCAGGGGCATATGTCAATTTTCAAGCTAAAAATAATACACCACTGACAGCAGCATGCGAAGGAGGACATTTTAGAGTAATGGAGGAGCTGTTAGGCGCAGGTGCTGATGTTAATTTGCAAGATTTAAAAGGAAGAACTCCTTTATATATAGCAGTTTTAAAATATACTGTGACACTTATGCCTATTGTACAAATGCTCAGTAAGTACGGTGCAGACTCAACTATATGCAATAAAGAGGGCCTATCAGCGTTGTATATTGCATTATTGAAAAACAGATTCCATGTTGTGCAGCACTTATTTGAGACTGACAATGAGTTTCTTTTGAATAAATTGAAGTTCCATTTATTTGACTGTTTGGTAAACATACGACAAAGTGATGTGATGACTGATAGTAAGGATGATGTGGTGGCGACACGGGGTAGAGTATGGCGTATGCGTAAAGATGGCGATTTGCATAATATTATCCAAGACAGTACTAGTAATGTTTTCAGACAACTGTTTTGCCTGGGCATGAATGTGAATCAATGGATAGAGCTGTATCACCATAATTATAAAACCCCTGATGCGATACCACTGCTATTTACTGTGATAGATGGGGACTTTCTAAGGATTGGGGACGGGGCAGAAAAATTAAGGATACTTATAAGATCTGGAGTGGACCTCAATGTCAGAGTGAGATTCAGAGTGATCTATTCTGTAATAGACAAACAGGGCATGTCATTTTTAGAGAAGACACGACGAGAAGTGATTAAGGTCCAAAAAAGTGAGGAAGCTGAATTGTTTAAGTACAAAAGAGTTCTTAATGAGACAAGGAAACATGTGAGGCGATACTCTCAGTGATTAAAGTAGAACCCTTTAGTATATGATGTTAATTAAATTGCTCTTAGAAGGTTTATTTCTTTCATCAACTGCCATCACTTACCGCTTTTTTGTGTGTTTCACAAAATCAGAGGAATATATTTTTCGTTAGTTCTAATAAGAACATTCATTTATTGTTTGAATTTGTCAACTTATTTTATTTGATTTCGTTTGCTTTATTAAAGTATTATTGCTATACAATGTTATATTTTTGTTGTGATCTGCTCGGCATGTCTTGTCCAGAGCAGTTTGAATCCTGAAATAGCTTTTTCAGGTGAATGCAGTGTAAAAAGATAACGAACAATAAATAATCCCGGAATTTAAGTAGCAACAAAAATGAGCATTCAATCTCAAAGTCCATAAAACAATGCAAAATATGAGCATAGCAAACAACGGACATACGAAACATCAGGGATGGGATCAGGTGCGATGGAGGAGTGTGCATCACCTGCTGACCTGTCACACCCGCCGTGTGCTCCTTGTCATGATCAGGAAATAATGGAAAAATCCGTCGTAAAACAATGCAGAGCAAAGGCGGACCTCCGAAACATAAGAGATGGGGAGGGAAATTACAGATTTAGGTCATGAAATGCAGACTGATTTCCAGTGGTGGTTTCAAATGCCGTCAATAAGTATGTTTGCATAGATTCAGAATGAGTTTTACGGAGAAATGTTGTTGATGTCTAAATAAGGACAGATGATGCAAACAATTTTTCTTGGAAGAGACTTAATATCATGTCAAAGGTTTAGAAAAGTAAATATTTTTTATATTTATAGATGAAAATAAATTTCAGAATATGTTAGTTTAGTGCTAAAAGTGTAACCTAAACTTAAGGAAAATATACCAAGCCAGGTGAATTTTATGGGAAAAAGCAAAATGGTGAAAATGGTGATTTCTCTGAATTTTTATCATACTACTTTTCCTCATAAGATTAACCTGGCTTGGTATAGTTTTATAAAGTTTATTTTACATTTTTAGCTCCAAGGTAACATATTCTAAAATTTGTTGTCATCTGTAAACCTTTACTGAGTGTGTTTTGTCCATATTTGTCATGTAAAATACAGTAAGTATTACTAATATTTTCAATGTCCATTTCCTTTTCAAGTCTTAGGATAAAAGATTCTAAGAATTATCCACCTTTCTATACCTTTGACATGATATTGAGTCCCCCCCCCCCAAAAAAAAATGTTTGTATCATCTGTCCTATCATCGCTACATGTTATCAAAGCAATTTTGAAAATTCCACGATACCATTGTAACGAAAATGATCGTATGAAAATACCTCTTAAATATCAAACACTTTCCTCATCAATAAAAGTACTTCGCGTTTTATAACAACATCTTATTAACCAAGAAACCTATTGTATTTTAGAGAGCCACATAAGTGACTTATCAAACAAAGAATTTTAATAATGAAGAAATAAGGTATCATTTTTTAGTTTTATTGGGATGTAGAACGGGTTGATCGCTTGATCAAATTCAATATAGCTCAAAGGGCTTTATGGAAGACTTTATCACGTGCCAACCCCTTTTGCGTCTCAATGAAACGCAAAAAATGATACCATATTACTTAATTTACATTTGTGATCGATTTATTACAAATAATAAGGTACTTAACGTTTTAAATCCATTAAAGATTTATTTTTTTCAAATCTCCAAATTGAATGTGTTGAACACGTCCATCACTTATGACGTCACTATGAATTACGTAGATCGCTTATGGCCAAATAATGAATTTATGGTCACATGACGAACGTGTTTTACAGAGAAATAAAACCGCCTTTTTCAATTGTGTTACATAAAAGCAAACATTTGCAAGTGTAAATATCAAGAGTATTTATTATGGCAACAATTGTATTTTATTATCAGTACAAAATATTTACATTAGTATATACTCACAATAAAAAGAATGCAACGCCCTCATTTTAGGGGGAAAATTATATACGGTTTATAACTTTGTTCCAAAGAAGTTAGGAAATCTTTATTTTTTTAACAGTTGAATGATTTACATTCCATTACCGAAAGTTTATTTTTAGCCCTCTTAACAGAAATCTAAAATCTGCATTTTTAATAAACTTTTTGACAATATTTTGGGTTTTCAAGGTTTCGGCTCAGTTGAGCTATAAAGGGCAACGTAAATGAGAGAGTTTCCGAATGTGAGAATATAAAGATTTAACCAATCAAAGAAAGAAATTATTGCTGTTAACTCTGAACTGAAACGGCAATGTTTTTGACACAAGCGGGAAAAAGAGATCATGGTAAATATTGCTAAAAATCAATACTTTAACTTTGACATCGATTATTACTGCCAAGTTTTATAACAGTTATAAAAGCTATAATATCAAAAAATCCAAATCTATCACACATTTATGGTAGACTGACACACAATATACTATCTACTACTAACTTTCTGAGATAGCTTGCAATATCAAGGCACAAGTCATCTAAATACTTGACAAAAATAAAAGCTTATTAATTGCATAAATTGTTGTAACATTTTAGAAATAAAATTTTAAAAAATTGCGCGAACTTACAACCAGCGCTCGGTATGTATCTAACAATGCATATACAACAATGTAAAGTATTTTCAGTGACTAAGAAAACACCTTTGGACCTGTTAGATATAGGTCAGGGGACAAAGTAATTGAAATGAACATTTAAACAATTTAAGTAAATCTGTGGTAGCTGAATCTAATGTAAATATGAAAATGATATGTTGCATGTGCAATGTAATTTTCGATTTAATTTATTACATTTGAAAAGTAATTGTAATCTAATTTCTTTCATTTCTAAAGTAATGTCGATGGTAATTTTAATGAAGCTTTTAGGCAAAAATTGTTTGGCAAAAAAATTCATTACTTTCCTACGCAATTTACTCCAACACAGAATTTCACACAAAGTTTGAACTTTGATATTTTATTAATTCAGTAGGCTCGTATAACGACACTGTCAATCAGTCTATTGTGTACTAGTTCTTGTTCTTTCTACACTCACCCTAGATCTCACAGTAAGATAAAAAAAAAACTGAGTATGAAATTTTCATTAAAGTGAGCACAGGGGCGGCGGGAAGCACCGCTTGCATATAATGAGTTCCACAGACAATATATATAAGAACGGAGACAGTTCGGGTCAAACGAATTTTTTAATTTTTTTATCAGTGCACCTGAAAAATTCCATACTCCCAATTATCCTATTTGGTGCATAACAACAATAGTAATATCCTACTTGAATAAAATTACAAAGAATGATTTAATGCTACATGTATTTCCATGTCATTGATGCCAACAAAACTACCATTTGTGTTTTTAAAAAACATGTCCTTAAATGTGACTTTATATTTTCGTCACTTCACGACTCGAATATTCCCGATCTTGTCGGAAAAATGGAAAAAAAATCTGGGAAGTAAGGATTCTCAATCTTAATGCATGGAAAGTCTGCAACTATTTTGATATCGGGTTTGAAATGATGAATTTTATGTACAATACGCAGTTAACACATCCTCAAGAAGTTTATTGAGAAATGTAATAAGAAGAATGTAAAACAATATTTGAAAAGTGTGTAGAGTTGTACAAAAATAAAATTCACTAGCCCTAACAGTTGCATATTGTGGGACATATTATTTTAAACCTTTCTGTATAATTTTCATACAGAGTATCGTCTTACATAATTTTTTAAGACACTTAAGACCCTCTTGCAAGGTTGCACTGCGCTTCTTTTCCATTTAAATTTACCCTCTTTGAACTTTTTCACAAGGCGTCGTGTCCTCTCCAGAACAGACACACCCTCTCTGTCTTCCACATCGTTATATTCCCTGTACCTCACCCTGACATTGACATCCGTCCCAGCTTCCAGAAGTGTCCTTAACATCTCTACTACATTGTTCTCATCAATCAGAATAAACCTACCAAGTCCTTCATCAATCACCGAGAACAAAAGAGGTTTTTCATCAAAATCAGACTCATAATCTTCGTAGTACAGCTGTATCCACTGATTGAAATCCAGACCCATGTGAAATAAATTTTTCAGTACGTCACATTTGTTTTCTTTGATTATTTTATATAAATCTCCAAATTTATCTATTTGCCTCACCCGTGTGTGTGTCATCACCACGTTATCTTTACTATCAGTTATCACGTCACTATTCCTTATGTTCACTAAAGATTCCAACAAATGTAACTTCCGTTTATTAAGCTGACCTTCACGTTCTGTTTGTACGAGTTCTTTTACAACATCAATTTTCATTTCAACTAACGCAATGCTTAATGCTGATAGACCCTCATTATTACAGATAGTTGCATCCGCACCATGATCATTGACCATTAGTGCTGGTGGTATCAGGGACTCCGTATTATTGAAAATTATAGTATATATAGGAGTTCTTCCTTTCGAATCCTGCATATTAATATCAGCCCCTACCTCTATCAGTTCATTGACTACACTGCAATATCCACCCCTGCATGCAGCTGTCAGTGGTGTATCATCTTGACCTTGAATATTGGCATCAGCTTCGGCCTCTAAGAGTTCCTTCACTACGTTCAGATATCCACCATTACATGCCGCTGTCAGCGGTGTGTGGTATTTTCCTTGTAGGTTGACATCAGCCTCTGCCTCTATCAACTCCTTCACTACCTCAACATGTCCATCCTTACATGCTGCAGTAAGCGGTGTGTGATATTTACCTTGGGGATTGCGATCAGCTCCTACGTCTAAGAGTTCTTTGACAATATCAGTATGTCCCCTTTTACATGCCATCGTCAGTGGTGTATGGTATGTACATTGTGGATTGATATCAGCCCCTGCTTTTATCAACTCCTTTACAACACATAAGTGTCCATTTTTACATGCCTCTGTCAATGGTAAATTAAAGAACCTTTGTGGATTGACATCAGCCCCGGCCTCTAACAGTTCCTTCAATACACTCAAATGTCCATATCTACATGCTGCAGTCAGTGGTAAATTGTATTTACCGTGTGGATTGACATCAGCCTCTTCCTCTAGCAGCATTTTTACAACGCTTATATGTCCACCCTCACTTGCGGCAGTCAGTGGTGTATTATATTCAGTCTGCGGATTGATATTAGCCCCAGCTTCTATAAGCTTATTCACTACATTTAAATGTCCACCTTGACATGCCGCTTTTAGTGGTGTATTATTCTGAGTTTGTTGATTTACATCAGCCCCTGCCACTATCAGCTCCTTTACTACGCTTATATATCCACCTTGACATGCTGCAATCAGTAACGTATAATTCTGCCTTTGTAGATTGACATCAGCCCCCTTATCTATCAGCTCTTTTACAACACCCACATGTCCTCTCTCACATGCTGCACTTAGTGGTGTATGATATTTTCCCTCTAGATTGACATCAGCTCCTGCCTTAATTAGCTCCTTCACAATACTCTTATGTCCATAATAACATGCTGCAGTCAGTGCCGTATCATTCTGATCTCGAAGATTGACATTAGCCCCGACTTTTATTAGCTCCTTTACTACATGGATAAATCCACCCTTACTTGATGCAGTCAGTGGTGTATTATATTTATCTTCAGGATTAATATCAGCCTCAGCCTTTATTAGCTCCATCACTACACTCGCATTTCCACTCGTACATGCTGCAGTCAGTGGCGTATGAAATTTGCCCTGAGGATTGACTTCAGCTCCTGATTTTATTAGTTCTTTTACTACATTGGTATAACCACCTCTGCATGCTACAGTTAGTGGAGTATCATATTTACCTTGCGGGTTCAGATCAGCCCCCGCATCTAACAGCTCCTTAACCACAGTCATTTGTCCAGATGTACATGCTGCAGTAAGTGGAGTTACAATCAATCTATCATCATAATCCAAATATCGCAGTTCTTTGTTTATAGTACTTTTACTGACATATTTGATCAATATTCTTACGGTCTCTAAATCACCACTGTAACATCCCAACACAAGTAAGCGATGTTGTTCAGATATTGACTGATTTATGACCAATTCCTCATTTCCCGAATGAGTACTGGTGTTTAAGATACATGGGTTGTCTTTTCTGTCATTTGCTGGAATATTTTTTTCGCTTTCTTCCGTAACAAAGCTTCGAACAGGGTAAATTGAACTATCAAACACTTGAGAGTGTGTTTCGTTTTGTCGGTCAGTTTGTTCTAGGATATGTTGTAGAATCTTATTGTGGCCGTAATAAACCACCCAACTAATAACCCTCACACTGTATGTTGATCCTTTAAGTGGTGTCCATCTTTCATTTACAAGCAAATTCTGTTTACGCAATTCATTGCTCCGTTTTTCCGATTCCTCACATTCCTTCACTACCCAATTTATTTTCCTGACAATTCTATGCACATCATTCTGCTTTGATAGAAATAAAGCTTTCCATCCCGAGTAAGACTTCCTGTTTAGCACCTCTATAAAGAGCTTACATACTTCTGACTGTTTTAAAACATCATTCATAAAAACATCATACAGTTCCAAATTCTCTATATCACTGTACAAACGCTCAGCTAAAACTAAAAACTTGTCCTCTCCTAACCTTATACAAAGATCAAATGAATCACTTCCATCGCCGCTTTTACTATTTAATACATCATGCTCTTCACCATCCTTTACATTTCCAGTGACTTGTGTTCTTCCGTTTTCCATTGTCTTTTTACATTCTTTTACTTCCACTTTCTTAGCAATGTAACTGCTGCTAATATATTGCAAAATGATATCCGGACACTGACAACCAAAATGATACGCCATTATTTCATACATGGATTCCTGAATAAAAGTGTACTCAGATCCACATAATTTTGTGTATGTCCCCTCCATTACTGATAATGCTCTAACAAATTTGAATGCATCTGTGTTACTCTCAACTTCACAGCTCTCTATTACTTTTGATTTCATTTCGTAGAACTGGTTGTTCCCTTTGCTTAGAAAACTTTTCTTTGATAGTTTTCTGTCATTTAACATTAATAAAACCAAAGTAGCATAGCATAACTTGTAATGACATTTCATCTTTTCAAATTCTTCTAAAATGCATTCAACTGGACAGGTAAAGAAATTTTCAGCATTTTTTCTAAATTTCTCAACTTTCGAGTACAGTTTACACAGTAAAGGAAACCTATATGATGTTTCTTGCAGGAATGAAGTAGGCAATAAATTTCTATCCAAACCGTGAATCTGAAGAATGGATTTTTTGTCATCTTCATTCAACATATTTTCTGGATTGCTTAATTTTATCACGTGTTTCTCATTTATGAAAAATGATTTGTAACACTCATTAAACACTGCTTCCCTACATGACATCAATACCTTTGTATTTTCATTGAAGGGATTTGAAATTTGTTCTTCGTAATCCATTAATGACTTTAATTTTGGCTTTTGTAGTTTTAAGATACCTAGTACATCATCAACGACAAATACTTGGGAATAACGAGAGTCAGTATAATCTTCTATCTTTCTGATATCCTCAATTGGTACGACCTCATACTTTTTCTCTTGTAATGTTAAGGCAATATGATGAATCGTTGCTGATTTCCCAGATCCTGGGACACCAACAAATGTCATGTACGGTTGATTTCTGACTTTATCCAACATTGCATGAAAGTTGTGGGTTTCAATGAAAACTTCGTCGTCTTTCTTCCATTGTAGGACTTTCTTTGAATGGATATCTATATAAATGTAAATTTTATCTTTTTTTATTATCCAAGCACTTGAAAATGTAACTTTTGCTGAAACTTATAAGCTGTATATCTGCTTTATATGTGTTCTATTGTTACACTCGAAGCATTAAAGAATGCGATCAAAATCTCAGTTGTCCTTATTACCTGACTTTTATAATTTGTCTATAAACGTCAAAGACCAAACGTTATCTGAAACTTGTCATGATACAATATGTAAAGGACTGCATGGTCCTCATATTTGCAAAATCCCTTCCACCATAATGAAATATGGAGGTAAAGAAAAGAATGAATACTGTTAGTTACTATATAGCAACATTTATTCGCGAGCGAGAAACAGTTGCGAGTTTCGCGATCAATTTTTACTCGCGAATATAAATAGCCTCGAACCATTTTTTCTGTGTTTTTTTTTTAGTCGTTGCAGATTGATTTCAAACTGACAAACCGCGAATAAAAGATGACGCAAAATATTATTTTTTACAGTCTCTGCATTTATTTCATTCAAGCTCAAAAGTCCATTAAAAAATATAGGCCAGGAACAGAGCAAACAAGGACCTTAAGATATCAGAGGTGGGACCAGGTGCTATAGAGGAGTAAGTATCCCTTGCCAATCAGTCACATCCGCCGTGTGCTCCATGTCATGATCGGGAAAAACTAAAGGATACGTAGAAAATCAGTATTTGAATATTCATATTGATTATAAATATTTTTATATTTATAATAATTAGCACGAAAAACGACTGTCAGCATTTCCCTTAAATGAAGGATTATATTTGCAGACAAGGTCATCGTATCAAAAATGATAACTTTGACCAAACTGTGCGTATTCTGTTTTATCAACTTGATTGTCAATGGCTTTCCCCCTTTAGAAATTGTTCGTAAGTAAAGAATGCTCTTGCGTATCGAATCCACTGGGAGATTGATAGATCGTTGATTTATATAAACGTCGATTTAAAGGCCTTCTGATATACATTAGATCACTTAATTTTCGCGACACCTTATTTTAGCGAGATATTCATTGACTCTTTATTAGCGAGACAAAATTTTCACGAATTGTGGTCATTGCTTTATATAATCTTAAGGAATTCTATTATACGCGAGAATGAAATTTTCGCGAGCATACCGTCTCGCGTAATTACGCGAAAATAAAGTTATCGCGAATAAAAAGTGATTTACAGTATAAGATTGTGGAAAAAATTCTTCTTCATATGAGTATTAATAAAAGTCATTTAACAAAGGAATGCGATTGGTACCCATGGGAATTCAAGAATTGGTTGGAGGATTTGGATGCAAAACCTACACAGATATTGGTAATCAGAAACTCATTGTAATAATATCAGCCTCAGACTACTTGTGTGTATAATCAGAATGTTTAATGTTTTTTTTAAAGAAGCTGCACTTTGGGATCCGAATATTAGATCAAAGATTATAAATTTAAAAAGAAATCTTTGAGTCTCCATCGTATTTTGCAAACAAATTGAGAGGATACTGAAAATTATTAACTCTTTATGAAGACTGTAAAATTTCACTCACCTTTCACATTTGGAGGAATGACACATTTAGTATTCTTGATTTCATCTGATAAAGAAATAAAATATTGGATTTTATAGTTGGCATAACTCAAAACTTTCTGGGAATTTAAATTGCAGAGATAAAATCCACTCTGTCCTCCATGGCACCTGATCCCACCCCTGATGTTTCGGAGGTCCGTGTTTAATTGCTCTGTCCTTATTTTGTATTGTTTTATGGACTTTGAGATTGAATACTGTTCGTTATCTCCATATCCTTCCTAGGATGCTTGAAACAACAAAAGGCCCAAGGGTCATATTGCTCATTTGAGTGACTTTAGCCATGCTGTTCTTTATTAGAATTCTCACTTAAAATTTCAATGTAAAACTTGGAAAAATGTAGAATTATAACAATATTACAATATATATATATATATATATATATATATATATATATATATATAAAATTAAAATGAAATAAAAAGACAATAATGGAAGTGATTTCTGAGGATTTAGTAAATGTTGATTTATGTTGAAACCATTGTGTGGGTACAGGGAAGGTTCATAATAGAATTGGGTCGCTACCATTGCTAACATTAACAATATTGTACAGTAATCAGGTCCAAAACTCCTCTGAAACCATTAAACAATAAAAAAATAAATTTGGTGCAGAACAAACAAGGAGTCCATGTTGAAATTGGCCGCATTGTTCTTGAGTGAGAAAGGGGTCAGGTGTCATAAAGGAGTCAGCATCCCATGTCATGATCGGTCAAAGGGAACATTTTGTTGACAATCAAGTGTGCAAATCATGGCCAAACAATACATGTATAAAAACGTTGGTCACCATTATACTAAATGATAATCTGTATTTGCTGATAATGTCAATCTATCGACCACAGTATTTGTCAATATAGACTGTTGATAATTTTTTTTATCAACCTAGGCCTGTTTGCCAATGTCTTGCCTCGTTTTAGCAAGTGTAACCACCTAGATCAAGTTCTTGCAAATTGAATCAACTGGGAGATATCAACTCTACATGCAGGTGATAAGGGTACATGTATATTAGCACATAAATAATAGGGCGACGATGGAAAAGAGGAAGTCTTCACAATCATGATAATTTATTTGTCGGTCGCATTTAAGTCTCCTTTTGGTAGAATATCCGAATATACAAATATATCAAACTGTGTGGTGTCTTTTTCAAAGTTCAAAGAGGTATATCAATGTAAGAATGAAGAATGAAAATGAATTGCGTCAATTGATAAAACGTGTCAATTTATCTTTATTGATTGCTACAGCAAGAAATTCTCTTTTCTTGTAAAATGTATTTGATATTAGATTAATTTTAAACAAAGAAATATAAGTGAAAAACTTACTAATCATTTCTAGCATTTTATTTTGATTTTCAGATCGATTTTCTTCGCTTTCTTCTAATTTACCTACAAAGAATAACAAAATTCTGGAAAGTGAGCAAAAAAAAAAAAAATCAAAAATTTATTTAAAGATGATGTTTACTCAGATGGCAAAAATTTCCACCATCGATTTTGCATTAAATACCTATGTTTTAGTCATCTGAGTAGACACCCTTAAAAAGTATACAGCATAATATCAAATTTAATAAATTAACAAAATCTCATTATCTAACTTACGTTGTAGGCCATGTAATATTTTCCTTGTTGCTGCATCTTCTTCAGCCTGTTTTCTCAGTTCTTCAATGAAATGAAGGTCACGGACAGGGTCCATTGTCTCATGTTTTAAAAAATCCACCTCCTTTTCGTACTGGTTTCCGTTGTTAAGGAACGAATCGAGATCTACAACTGCTGATCTTACGGTAGACCAGACTGTATTGAAATCAGCGTTAGAAAGGACGGGACTAGAAGAATGCACACACTGGTTTCTGGCAGTACGGATCCTCTCAACATTGGCAGAGAGAGTACGATCTGTAGGGTCTGGATCATTTCCCCAGCCTTTGTTGTGTGCTGTTATGTTACAAATGTTTCTAAGCAGCGAGTACAATAAAGGAATATCCATATCAGCATAGTTTCCGGTATAACTTTTACCTCTTGGTAAAATAAGACTCATTTGAGGTGCTGTCAGACGGGGTAGATTACTCCTTTTTTGTACAATGACACGTGGAAAAATAGCGGGTGGTATATAATGACGTAGAACATCCCTCAGTTGATCTGTACACGGACCCAGGAGAAGTCGACACGCTCTACAGGCATTTGTTGTCTCCTCTGTAGACGAGTAAGAGGACGCTGCCATGGCAGTTACCTAATCTCTGAAAGAGTGAATACGAAAAAAACCATTAACATTCACAAAAAACATACATACACAAAACAAACGCAAGAACAAACAAAAGTAAGTGCCTTGTGGATGGTGGATGCATCGCAAAGCCCTTGATAGGTTTTCAGATTTTAATCGTAGATTATGATTGGTCTTCTTTGGTGCTGTCTTATGTGCCTAAGTCCCTTAACCTCAAAAGATCTTAAGTATCAATTATTAAATTCATCAGAATTTCTAATGTGTTGTGATATGTGTATTGTTTCATCATGTATATTATTAGTAACATTAAGTTTCTTGAACATTCCAGAGTGGTCAATATGTTTGGTCATTTTTTCTAGAACATTCTTGAACTTTATTCATGTCCAGAACTTTCCAGGAATATCATGTATTTACAATTTCTAGAATATTCTAGATTTATGATACTGTATAAATACCCTGTCAATTCGATGCATAAATAATTGTGGATACATTGTCGTATAAGCATCATTGAGGTATTACTGGGATATAATTTCACTGGGACATTGTGTGCAGCAACGGACACTCTGATGTATGTATTTTTAGATTTTTGCTAAGTTTGTACTTAATGATTTGTATATTACTGTAAATAAATTATTGTTAAGTTTAAACTGTGTGATTGATCTTTGCTGGCATTTAGGGTTATTCTGACCCATAACAGAATTGGGGGCTCGTCCGGGATCAAGAATTTCTTGTACTTTTGCAGTTCATTGTCAGAATTTTGTTAATTAAATTGTTAAATTTGACTATAAGCCAGCAAAAATCAACATGGTATTTTCGGTCACAAACTTTCTTAGTTCGCCAAGTGTTCAGGTTTTTGATACGTTAAAAAAGGATGACTTGATCGCATTAGGTTTGCATTTTGGGTTAGATGTTAAATCCTCTCAGAGAAAGCAAGACATTAGAATTAAGGTTGCAAACAAACTAGTAGAAGAAAACATCTTTGAAAAATACGATCTTCCAGAATATACAGATAGATCAGAGTTAGGCTCTTACAAAATGACAGACTATCAGTTTCAATTAGAGTTAGAGAAAATGCGATTTGAAAGAGAAGAGCGAGAAAGAGATAGAGAAAGAGAAGAACGAGAGCGTGAACGAAAATTTGAATTAGACAAATTAGTAGCAGAAAGAGAAGAGCGAGAAAGAGAGCGTGAAATGAACTTTGAATTAGAGAAATTAAAATTACAAAACCAACCAGAACCGTCATTTGTCAAGAATGAATTTGACGCAGCAAAAAATATCAGATTAGTTCCAAAATTTCAAGAAAAATCTGTAGACAAATATTTTCCCCAATTCGAGAAAGTCGCAGAAAATCTTAAATGGCCACAACACGTTTGGTCAACAATGTTACAAAGTGTACTGGTTGGCAAAGCAGCTGAGGTATACTCTGCACTAGGGGTAGCTGAGAGTTCAGACTATGAGAAGGTCAAAGCAGCAATATTAAAAGCATATGAATTAGTACCTGAAGCATATAGACAAAAATTCAGAAAGTATAGGAAGTTTGATAATCAAACATTTGTTGAATTTTCACGAGAGAAAGAAGATTTATTCGATCACTGGTTTAGATCTAAGAAACTTGATAAAACCTTTGCTAATTTGCGCCAAGTCATCCTGGTAGAAGAGTTTAAGGAATGTGTTTCTCAAGATTTGAAAACACATTTAGAAGATAAGAATGTGAAAACTCTTGAAGAGGCAGCAGTCATATCTGATACTTATGCTCTATCTCATAAAAAGAATTTTGTATCAAGATCTCAGACTAGCAGCAATTCTACCAATTCAGACACATATAAAAAGAGTGGTTCAGGGTCTCAGTCTTTCACAAGTTCCCAGTCTCCATCCCAAGGTGGTTCTAAGTCCGGTCCAGGACGTTTTGAAGGATCTTCTGGAATAGGGTCGCTTCCTACTTGTAGTTATTGTAAGAAAAAGGGTCATCTGATCAGTGAATGCTTTAAACTTAAGAGAAAAAATGATTTTGATAAAACTCAACCACACGCTTGTGCGGCAGTTAGAGGTGATAGAGAAGCCTTAGTTTCGATTTGTTCTGACACTCCTGATGTCCAGGGTTCACAGTCCAGTTCTATTGATTCTATGGAGGATTATAAGCCCTTTATGTCTCAGGGATTTGTTTCACTCGGTGACTCTAGCGAAATAAAACCTGTCCAGATTTTGAGAGATACTGGTGCTGCACAGACGTTATTGTTAGAGGGCGTGCTTCCTTTGTCTGAGCAGACTTCTACTGGTGGGTCAGTTTTATTACAGGGTGTGGAGCTAGGTGTCATTGATGTTCCCCTGCATAGAATTAGTTTGAAATCAGATTTAGTTACTGGACCTGTTATCGTAGGTGTTCGACCTACTCTTCCCGTTCCAGGCATTTCTTTGTTGCTAGGCAACGATTTAGCTGGTGGAAAAGTTGTACCAGATCCTATAGTTTGTGAGAAAATCACTCCAGATGTTATGTGCGATGATGAAGATGATGACATTTATCCAGCCTGTGCTGTTACTAGAGCGATGGCCAGAAGACGAGAAATGGAGGCAGACCATACTCAAGCCTTTGACGAGACGAATTCCTCTGTTGATATTGATTTGAATGACACTTTCTTATCTGACCTTGATGGCACTCAAACAAGCATGGAACCAAACAATATCAAGAAGCAAGAGAAGAAAGAATTTTTACCAAAATTTGGTGGTGAGGATGATGTTAGCCAAGGCAAGGACATCCTCAGCCGAGAACGTTTACTCTCTGAACAAAATAAAGACCCAGATATCATTCAACTTAGTAAGAGGGCACTTCCACCAGAAGAGGCTATTAAAGTTGGAGAATGCTTTTATATGAAAGATGGCATCCTTATGCGAAAATGGCGACCACCTGACGCTTCTCCAGATGAAGTGTGGCGTGTTGTTCACCAGATAGTGGTCCCAGCTGCTTATCGTCGAGATGTCATGAGTTTAGCTCACGATACACCTATGGCAGGTCATTTAGGTGTCAATAAGACTTATAATAGGATTTTGAGTCATTTTTATTGGCCTAAGCTAAGAAAGGACGTTTCTGAGTTTTGCAAGTCATGCCATGTCTGTCAGATGGTAGGTAAACCAAATCAGAAGATACCATCTGCTCCTCTCCAACCCATTCCAGCTTTTGAAGAACCGTTTAGTCGAGTGTTGGTGGATTGTGTAGGACCTTTGCCTAGGACTAGATCTGGAAACCAGTATTTACTTACCATTATGTGTACATCCACTCGATTTCCTGAAGCCATACCTCTAAGGAATATAAAGGCAAAGAGCATAGTTAAGGCCCTAACCAAGTTTTTCAGTTTTGTAGGAGCACCCAAGGCAATTCAGTCGGATCAAGGCTCAAATTTTATGTCGGGGTTGTTCCAGCAAGTCATGCATGAGTTGGGTATTAGGCAGTATCGATCAACTGCTTATCATCCTGAGTCCCAGGGAGCGCTAGAACGTTTTCATCAAACCCTAAAAACAATGCTGAAGACCTATTGTTACCAGTATGAGAAAGACTGGGATGAAGGGGTTCATCTTGTACTATTTGCTGCACGAGAGGCAGTCCAGGAGTCTCTTGGGTTTAGTCCTTTTGAATTGGTGTTCGGTCATACAGTTAGAGGTCCTTTGAAATTGCTGAAGGAAAAGTGGCTGACTGAGACTAGTGATCTTAATCTTTTAGATTATGTGTCTGATTTCAAAGAAAAACTTTACAATGCTTGTAAATTAGCACAAGGAAATTTGAAGAGTTCTCAGATGAAAATGAAAATGTGGTATGACAAAGATGCCAGAAATAGGGTGTTTAAGCCAGGTGATAAGGTTCTTGTATTTTTACCTATTCCTGGTCATCCTTTACAAGCCAGATTTTATGGCCCTTATGAAATTGAAAGCAAGATCAGTGATGTAAACTATGTAGTTAAGACACCAGGTCGACGTAAAGAGAAACGGGTTTGTCATATTAACATGTTAAAAGAGTATTTTGAAAGGTGTGACCGAAATTCTGTAAAACCAGTTTCCACTTTAGCCAACGCTAAGACTGTTCAAAATTGTATTGAGAGTGATACGAGTGTAGAGATGAATGAGAAAGATTGTAATCAGAGTGTCCGCTTGAAAAACTCAGAAATTTTGGCTGATTTTGATGCCAAACTTGGACATTTGAACATTCACCAAAAAGAACAAGTTAAAAACTTGATGAATGAGTACCATCAAATCTTCTCGGATGTTCCAAAGAAAACTAATGCAGCTTGTCATGATGTTATAGTTGGCGACGCTCTGCCTATCAAACAACATCCGTACCGTCTCAATCCAATAAAATTGCAGTACCTAAGAAGGGAAGTGCAGTACATGTTGGACAATGACATTGTTGAACCTAGTAAAAGTAATTGGAGCTCACCGTGTATTCTTGTACCAAAACAGGACGGTTCCTACCGATTATGTACAGACTTTAGAAAGGTGAATTCTGTTACTAAAACTGATTCATATCCAATACCTAGAATTGATGACTGTATTGACAGCATTGGAAACGCCAAATTTGTCAGTAAATTTGACCTGTTGAAAGGCTACTGGCAAGTGCCGTTAACAGAAAGAGCAAAAGAAATATCTGCTTTTGCTACACCAGATGGACTTTACCAGTATAAAGTAATGCCTTTTGGCATGAAAAACGCACCGGCTACATTCCAAAGGATGGTTCATTCCCTTCTTCAAGACCTTGAGGGATGCGAGGCCTACATTGATGATGTCGTCATATACAGCGACACATGGGACGAACATCTCCGAACCATGCGTGCTTTATTTGACATTTTAGCTAAAGCAAACTTAACTGTGAACCTTGAGAAGAGCGAATTTTGTCATGCTTATGTAGAGTATTTAGGTCATAGAGTAGGTCAAGGTTATGTTACACCCATTATGGCTAAAGTGGAAGCTATTGCAAAGTTCCCGATTCCTACAAACAAGAAAGAGTTAATGAGGTTTTTGGGCATGGCTGGG